CAGCTCTCAGTGGGGAGGAGCAGAGTGATGAAGCCAGTTCAGAGATGGGGATTATTAGGAGGTTATGATTGGTAAAGGCCAATGGGAAATTTGGCCAGGATGCTGGGGTAACACCCCTATTCTTTTCAAGAAATGCCCTCGGTTTTACGTCTCATCTGAAGGACGGTGCCTTTTCCCTGTACAGTGTCCCTGTACAGTGTCACTATACTGGGGCATTAGGACCCACATAGACCACAGGATGAGCGCCCCCTATTGGCACCACTAACACAACTTCCAGCAGCAACATTAGTTTGTCCCAGGAGGTCTCCCAACCAGGTAGATTAATCACACCTGATTGATCCTTTGTGCATCATGGACTTCCACAGTCCTAGCCAGATCCAGTGTGCTTCACTGCCCTATCATGCAGTTGTTTGTGCTGCTCTAATATGATTTTCACATCTTGGGTTGAGCAAAAAAGTGCAGTGTGTTCATCATTGTATTCCTGTAACCTTGACCTGAAACCAGCCCACAGGAAAAGCCTGCGAATTTTGACACGACTGCAAAGTAACGTCAAAAGACATTAGCTGGCAGAATAGAGGTGGACGCTGGCTCGAGTTGGTCTCCCAGAGTGCCAGATTGGAACAGCCTTCCGCTAAAAGAATCTCAGCCATATTGAAGGTGCAGGCTGTGCAGAGTTTCCCTTCGCATCAATGAAAGAAAGAGTTTTTGGAGTTTTTTTTTAAGGGAGCATCCCTACAATAAAGGAGTACTTCTTACTTTTTTACACAAAACATCAGGCCATCAATAAACTGCAAATACCCTGTACTTGTGCTTTTTATTAAGCTATTTTTTCATGTTTTGCAGCCCCTGAAAATCCGGGTATCCGATGACTTCATGGCAGATATAGGTAATTCATTTTATTTCCCCTGTAATGGAGCTTGGGAGCCAAGCGCAGCTGATTTAGATGTTTGATAGGAAATCCACCGGATGTACAAACGCATACTTGCTACAAAAACCACTGAAATCCACTCAAACGGGGCAAAATCAGCTTCTGTTTATCCCCATGTGCGCCGTTTTTTACACACACTGCAATACAGAGACGGTAAGTAGGCGACACTCTTACACTCTTTTTAGTTTTTAAGACGGACAATTTTTTATGTATTTGTGTTAAAAAAAGACCGTTATCCTCAGATGGCCAATTTCAGGGACGGAGAAAAGCGCTACTCCACTCTCTCGATCTGGAGTTGTAAGAAACGGGGACGATCATGTGGCGTCTCTCTCTGTTCCTTCCTTCCTCCCAGACGGTCGCCTGCACGCTCAGGAGGACATCCGCGGGCCGCTGTCGGACATGCAGCTGCAGGTCCTTCCCGAAATCCAGGAGCAGATCCAGGACTACAGGTGAGTGGGGGCCCTCCGTCTGGGCCGAGATGCCCCTACCCCCAGACAGGTCTCCATCGCGCGATCCTTCAGAGCTCCCTTCGGCTGTAAGTGGAACTCCATGGGTCTTCGGCGTGCCTCTGTCCAGAACATTGACTCCCCGTAGTGGTGCCTCACAGTCCTTTCTTGCCGTCTTTGGATTGAGAGGCTTGTAGCAGTCAAGCCACGAGATAGGCCCGGTTTATGTGTAGCCCCCAGTCAGTAGCAACCTTTATGTTCTTATCAGTCTTCCCTCTTTCTGCATTCCAGACAAACCTGGGGCTCTCGTCGCCTGTCTCACTGATAAACCGTAGGGTCTACCCAACCAGTTCCTCTCTCTGCCGAGTTCCCCCTCCGCAGCTCCCCGTCTGTTTATAACGCGAGTACTCTTGTGCGGCGGCACGGTGGCGCGGTTGTTGTCCTTGCTGCCTCGCAGCGCTGGGGCTCTGGGTTTTGGTTCCCGGAGTGTGCTCTCTGTGTGGCGTTTGTGTGTTCTCCCCGGGCTTCCTCCCGCTGTCCAAAGAGATACGAGGAGGTTCATCTGCGAAACCAGGCCCCAGGTGTGAGCGCTTGTGCGTCTCTGTTTGGGCCTGTGTGTCTGCACTGTGATAGGCTGGTTTCCCTTGCGGGGTGAATCCTGCTTGACGCTTGTTTCTTGCCAGGATAGGCTCCTGACCCCCCCCCCCCACCGACTGTATAAAGGGGGTTAGAAAATAGAGGGATAGAAATGCTCCTGTACTAATCCCAGTACGCGGAGATCTGTGTCTCTGTCCCCCAGCTCTTAGGATGTCAGTCCTTTGTCCCCAGCCATTGGTCCCCTACTGAAGCAGGAAAGGTTAGATGAGGAGACTATTAAGCCCGTCTTAATAGTCTTGAATGGGAGTCGGATAGCTACATGATCTCAAAATCACATTGAACCTTTTTTTTCCCCGAAAAAAGCTTTCATAGTGTGGGGAGTGACTCTCCTGTGTTATGTTCCCAGATGCTTTCATCATTTTGGATCTTAAAAGGTTCCCTGGAATGTTCCCTTGTTTTTCAGGCCCGTCAATATCGAGATCACGACACGTCTTCATCTTAATTCCTGACCTTTTCAGATCTGTCTTCACATTCGTGCGGTTTCCCCCTTCAGAACGCGGCGACTCTCCTGGGGCTCCCGTTCTCGGCTCTCGTGTTCTGAAGGCCTATCTGGTTGGGGTCTGCAGATGAGGGGTGTACAGAGGGAGCTGGCGGGGGTGTCAGTGTTATTTATAGTCGCCTCTCTCGCAGGAATAAGCAGATGATCGGTCTGGGCTCCCTGTTCGGAGAGGGCGACCTGCAGCTGCTGGACGGAGATCCCGCCAAGGAGAAGCAGATCGTGGACCGCCAGGTCACGGCGCTCTGGGAGATACTGTGAGTGGCACACCTCTTTCAGTACCCTTCCTCACCACGACTTCACCACCCATTCTCAATACTTTGTTTTTCTTGACCAATTAACTGTTTGGCCATTGCGCCACGAGAGTCGGTCACAGGGCGCTGTCCGCTTGGTTTCAAACCTTAACTGAGCTTTGTTCAGAGGCCTTTGCCTCGCCAAGACTCGACCTTAAAAATGTGAGGCCTCTGTCACGGCGGCCCCGACTTCCCCCCTTTTCTTGACCTTGCTACCAGTCCAACACTCTGTGGGCATCTAGAGAAGAGTGCCATTTCTCTCTTCTTTCATTTGAACGTTTTTTGTTGTTGTTTTCAGGTCCAAGCATGAGGAGGATAGAAGGTAAGTTGGTCCCTGCCGTGCTCACAGTGCGTGGGTAGATGGGTCGTTACTGTTCTCCTTGTTATCATTTATTAATAATAGTGGTGTTGTCTGTCGTACTGTCGTCTGCTGTATGTGTGTGTCCCGAGACATTAGAGCCAATAAGAATTCCAATGTACGTGTACATGTGGCAATAAACTCTACTCTACTGCACTTGTACGCAATCCTCTGTGTTACAACACAAGACTGCAGGTGACTTTGGAATTTGAATGGTAGTCAATACGTCTAAATTGGGACCCTCGCAGAGAGAAAATAACTGCAAACTGGTAAAACTCTCTGTCTATATCTCTGTGCCAGATGCCAGGATACTCTGGGCTGGAAATGAAAATTCTGGGTCTTTCCTTTTGGACCGTGAGCTGCTTGGAATAAAATCAAAGTGTTGCACGCGAAGGACGACTCACGTTCCCGTCCTAGAAAAGCCCTGTCCTGAGTCTTGGTTCCTCACCCTGTGCTCTCTCTCTCTCTCTCCCCCCAGCGCTCCCATTGCCTCGGCCATCTTGCTGTACCTGCGACACGCTGGGATCAAGCTGAGGGACTCGCGAGTCTTCAGCATGCTGGACAAGTCCCAGGAGAAAGACAAATGGCTGCCCTTCTTTCCCAAAACCAAGAAGGTACTTCAGCAGGAAGCCAGCTGGGTGGGATGTCAGCGAGAGGGGAAGTCCGCTCCTCCCCCCAGCCTACTCAGTGCCTGAGCTCCTTCCAAGGAGGGAAATGTGTGGTCTCGCACTTCCTGCCACTTCCTGTGTCCCACATTTGCCCTCTTTCTCTTTACACACTTCCCAACTCCCTGTCCTCCCTGCCCCACACTTCTCCTCCTCGCCCTCTCTTCCCTTACGCAGCTGGGCTCTGGTGGATTTCCCAGAAGCGCGATCAGAAATATATCCCCCTGAGCCCCTTAGCCACCAGGGAAACGGGGAATAAGCACCCATCAGACGGAAAGAAGGGAAAACGGAAGAGTTTTCCACGGAACGTCAAGTTGACGCTCTTGACTTAGCCGAGACAACTCTCTTCTTTTCTTCTTCATCTGCGAGGAGCCGAAAAAGAAACTCCCATACAACCACATTGTATTTTAACGCCTGATTAACGCACCGTTAAGCGATCACGTTGATTGAAAGGAAGAAAGGGGTTGTACTACCAGCTAGCGGTAAGAAGTCAGGTTCTCAGGCCAGGGCCTGATCACCCAGTCAGACCCGGTCCAGTGTAAAGGATCCTGAGCCACAGGCGACGCAGATAAATATCTGTGAATGAGCAGGTTGTGCGTTAGTGTGCCTCACCCCCAACACCGTCTCCCCGCCTGGCCCACCACCTCGCTGTCCATCTCTCCCGGTCTCAGTCCCTCTCTCTCTCTCTCTCCCCCCAGCCCAACACGACCAAGAAGGAGCGGGAGAAGGAGAAGGACGCGGAGGAGAAGAAGCGGAACCCCATCCTGAAGTACATCGCCAAGCCCCGGAGCACCTCCCAGTCCAGTAAGAGCCCGGCCCGAGCCCCCAGCCCCCCTCTGCGCCTCTCCTTTGCTCAGAAGTCACGTCCTTTTGTTGCTTTGCGGCTGTTCCATTTTTTGAGTTTTTTTTTTTTTAATTTCATCATGGGTGTTTTTTTTTTCTTTTCTCTGCCTTTTCAGCCTTTCATGTTCCCTTGTCACCGACGGAAGGTAATCTTGTTTTAATTCATTGGCATCGCTTTCTTTTTGGGTTGCTTTTTTAAACATTTCAAAGGGCAAGGGGCACCCAGGGCAAGAAAGCCTTAGGCTTTGAGAAACCCAGAATTCCTTTCTAGTTTTAGGAGGAATGTGGGTAAACTAAAG